ATAAATAAAGAAAAGTGATAGTGTTGCCACGTTTTTCCGCCAAACAAATTTGAAAATTAACCTATAATTGAAATTTCTCTGCCTATGAGTGAGAATATTCTGTCTTGGAAAAGGTTTCAGTATATACGGTCTGACAGAAAAATTTCATCGCCCACAAAAAAATATGGTAACTGAAAGTTTGTCCGAGGCAAAACATTTTCTTCCGGAATCCCTGTTTGTTGTATTTCCAAAGCTTGGAATAAAGTTGAGTTCCTAAACGCTAATAAGTCACTGAAGGAACCTAAAAAATTGTTTAGAAATATTCAGTACACTATATGCAATAAAACAATTTCATCAAGAGTGGCCCTCTTTTAAAAATTTTCATTTCTTTCAAAAATGAGTTTTATATAAAACCAAGTACAATAAAATTTATTCTGTTTATTTTTCAATTTAATAATAATAATAATAATAATAGTAATAATTTACTTTAAAATGGCTTACCATACTGTCCTACATCAACCCACAGAAATCTGTAATATGAATCACAAATGGCGAGTAACTTGATACTGTAGTATTTTTTGTAGCAATAAAAACGAGTTCCTGATCTTGGCGGCTTTCTAATTCGTATTTCCATCCCATTAATAGCTCCTAAACAATTTGGAAAATTCCATTTCACACGAAATCCCTATGCGACAACTCTCCATTCTGCAGGTGTTTTCCAGCGTAAATAGGCAGGCCAGAGAAGTTCTCAAATCAAAGGACACACTTCTGATATAATTGCATACGTAGTACTGAGACCTACAAGAAAGAAATTAGCCAAAGTGCACTTGCTGTCACCATGAGCCAAAAAACTGTAAAAAAAAGTTAAATGTATACAAATAAAGACTTTGATTTGAACATTGAATAAAACTTAATAATTTATTTTGTTTCATGTGCAACGAATATATAGGTATTACAATTGTATAATTTACTAAGTAAATTTTACTTACTTTAATGTTATTGCCAATCTTAATTCTGATGGTAACGGACGCCTGCGACTTCTTTTTATAAGCCTAGGTCCAACAATATTATGCAGTTTTTTGAATGCTTCCACTGTCAGTTTACACATCTGTTTAAACTTTTCTTCGTCGCAGTTTCAAAATACAGAAATAATCCATCGTATGCCCCAAAAGTATCTCGCATGAAATTACTAATATGGGGCCTCACATGCCACCGTCGATTATTAGATCGATTTTGCAGTTGATGAAGTTCCAGACAATAAAGTACCAATTTCAGCCATTGCATGTATAAAAAAGCAATATAATAATGGATCAACATTTTTCATTCAAAATTGAATGAATCAATAATCTGTAAAAATTCTGTTTTTTATAAAATACTGGCGTTTATTTAGTTTTAATATAAAACAATAAAAAAAATAATGACGCTAAATAAAAGCGCCGACTGTCTAAAAAATTGTAGGTTATGTTTGTAATTTTTAAAGTGAAGATATTAAAATTAATCGACTTTTAATACAAAACATTTACAATTATAATGTTTAACAATTTCACAGAAAGAAATTCTTTTTCACAATTTGGTACACATACCCACATAGCACGGCTTCTTGCTGTGGGGTTACTGTAAGGATATCTGTAGGTTTTGTAAGGTTACCGTGTAAGTCTGCAGTAAACTTGAGGTAATCTTAAAACTTCCGCCTTACAGTAAACATACACAGTAAAGCTAAGGTAAGCTTACACTGTAAGGTCGTGGTAAGTTTACATGGTAAGGTTGTAGTAAGCTTACACTGTAAGGTTGTTGTAAGCTTCCTTTAAGGTTTCTGTAAGGTTGATGTAAGGTTGCTGTAAGGTTACTGTAAACATAGAATGTTATTAATAAATAAATTTTATTAATATTGATGCGCAGTAGTTTTCTATGGCACATACGGCTGCGCAGTAACTTTTATTTGACACACCCTATTGGGGTTCATGAAGTACTTCACCAAATATATAATTTTTTATAAAAAAAATTTGTAATATAATATATATTATAATATAATTATTTTTAATATATTTTCATATTACTTTATGTTTACAGTAACCTTACAGCAACCTTACAATAACCTTACGGGAAGCTTACAACAACCTTACCGTGTAAGCTTACCACAACCTAACCACGTAAACTTACCACGACTTTACTGTGTAAGCTTACCTTTGCTTTACTGTCTAAGCTTACTGTAAGGCGGAAGTTTTAAGATTACCTCAAGTTTATTGCAGGCTTACACGGTAACCTTACAAACCCTACAGATATCCTTACAGTAAACTCACAGCAAGAAGTCGTGTTATGTGGGTAAGTACACATATTATATATATATATAAATATATATACATACCACGTGTTGTGATATATAACCTTAAAATGATACAATAAATATTAATAACATCTTACCTTGATAATACACAAAAAGATAATGTTCTCTATTTTCAGCAATTAATTAAGTAATTAATTAATGCACTATTTTTCTCTTCACTAAAACTTTGTGACAAAGACATTTCCTCTACACTATAAACAATTGTAATTAATTAGAAAACTATTAAAAGTCAGGAATGAGTGTACCGGGTGGACGAAAACAGTTGCGCGCGCAGAAAGCAAGCGCAAAAAAATGCTCAGCAAGGCAAATTGCATGTATTGTGGAAGCGCCCTAAAACTGGCAGGACTTTGTTTTAAGACAAAATTTAAACAGTTTGAGTTAATGTAGTATTCTGTCGTACGAAACATAAACTTAGTTGTCTCCCGTACAACACAAGATATTGTGTGGATATCCAAATGACGTCCCATTTAGATCCCGACATATCTGGGATATCCCAGGGATATCCTATGGATTTTAAACGAAATATCTCAATCGAGGGAACTTTTGATATCCTGAGAATGTCCACGGGATATCTATAGATATTCCTCAGATATCTATAGACATCTAGATATCTTATGAGTTGGCGTTTAATATCCCATTAACGTTCCTAAGATATCTTAGGATATTAGAGGTTAAATATAACTAACCTCCAGAGTTTGTCAAAACCACAAATGTTAATGTATTTTAGTTTTTGATAAAAAGTTGTAAATATTCATAAGTGGCATATTAATTTGATGCATCGCATATGTAGATAAAGGTAAGTAAACTGTGTTATTAAAATTATTAAATACACTTTTAAATTTGAACAACTTAAAACGGGTTTAATATAAATTCTTTAACTTTAAGATAAATTTTATATTGTTGTAAAAGGATAATCGTTATGTGTTTTCTAGGCTACTAAAAAACAATTGACTTGTGAATATTTTTGTAAAGTAAAATAGTGCATTTAATCAATTTTCTTATTAATGTAAGAAATAATATTGACTTTACATAAATATAACCTTTCAATTTACACATTTTTAGAATACCCAAATGATTTAGAAAAAATATTTTTAAAATAAATATGTATCTCGCATCTTGCATTAAAACACTTGCTTTTTCAGTGCACTAGGTTTCTATAGTTTTTCTACGTTTTTTTATTTCCATTTTACTTTAACTTATATCTTTTGCTTCCTTTGGAGGAAGCTATGTAGTCCTTCAAATTATGAAATTATTAGAAATGCACCAAACAAATTTTTTTCTATTTATAAATGTCATATATAAGTCCCTCATCAATTGTCCGGATGTATGTATGTGTGTGTGTATGTGTGTGTGTATGTGTGTGTGTGTGGATCCATTTTTTTGTGAACACGATAACTTTAATACGTTTTAACGGATTTGGCTAAAATTTGGTACGTATATTTGTCACATCAATATCTCAAAATGGACACAACAATTTTAGAAAGTACCCCCTAAAAAAAAATTTTTTTTTACTTTTTTTCAAAAAATCGATTTTAATAAAAAAATTGTTTCAAAGCTAAAATAAAGGCAATACATATAATAATCTTATTCCTTACGTCAAAAGAAACTGATTGGTATATATATAAAGTTTAGATTTCATTTAAATTTAAAGAATAAATCTTTAAGGAAGAATTCCATTATTCTTCTGATCTTTTAAAAAATTTCACCTCGTAGAGGATGTAGAAAAAGTTTTTCATTTATATTATATTAATTAAACTTAATAATTGTTTACAGTAATTAACTTAATTAATATTATAATTAGTTTTGTTATAGGGACCGTCCATATACCACGTGGACAATTTTTTACAGATTTTTGACCCCCCCCTCCCCCCTTGTGGACACCAAAATGCATTGGATCGTGGACAATTTTATACATTTTTAAACCCCCCCTCCTCCGCGAAAGTGTCCACGTGGTATATGGACGGCCCTATATTATTTTACTTGATTTGATGTCTTCTTTTTCTTTAATTGTTTTTATCCTCTCTCAGTTTCAATCCTACTTTTTTTTGAATTATCCAAACTTTTTCTTCTTTTTTATTTATTAGAGATATGCAAAGCCTGGATTTTAGGTCTCCAATAAAATCAAATGCTACCTTTGTGAGATATTTTTTATATTTATAAGTTGTTATAGTAATTTTAAATTAATTAAATTGTATTACTTCTTGTTTATTAAAAAATTAGGGTCAAGATTTTTCAAAAGGATTTTTGTTGAAAATAAAACATGGGTAAATAAAATAAAACATTACATTTATTATTACATTATTATTATCTACAATAAATAATTGAATTTTTCAGTGTTTGAATTTATAACAAATTTCTTTTATAAACAAATTCAACAAATTCAAACTAAAAAGATTGAACCGGAATCTGCTGTAACGGAAAAAGCGATTATACCGGAATCAGTCGATAACATCAATAAAACGGTTGAAAGAGTGGAAAAGGTGGAAAAAGATATATTTTTTGAAATCATTTATCATATTTTAAAAATAATATGTATATAAATTATTAATTTATTGCTTCCTCCAAGAGGAAGCAAATCTTTTGCTTTGCGCAATGAGGAAGCAAAATGTTCATGAAATGAACATAAACTTCTTTTATAAAAAGGGACCCCCATCTTGTTTGCAGTTGTGCTGCAGTAATGAAGCCGTTCAAACTTCTTTGTAAAAAACAGAAACGTAAAAGGATAGGTCGATACAATCTAAATTATGCATTTTTACAAAGTTTCGAATTAGTATCATCAAGTGAATCAGAATCAGAAACAGATTTATCTTTGAACGCTTCTGATAATGAGTTAAACGAAAATGTATCAGATTTAAATTTTTCTTTGAATTCAAACTGCAATATCAATAACGAAAATGAAATTCAACCAATGGAACTTAATGTCGAACGCCCTGAAGATTCTGGTATTGCTGTAGGAGAGAATATTAGTTTTAATTATCCTGTTGAATTAAATATTAACGAAGAAAAGGAAGATATACGTACTTTTCTTGGACGATGGGCAACGCAAAATAAAATCTATCAAGAACCGCTAACACAATTATTACATTATTTAAGAGAACATGATTGCTTTAGAGGTAGCTTGCCGAAGGATCCTAGGACATTGCTTCGTACACCAAGGTCAAATGGTATAAGATCTGTTCATCCTAGACAGTACTATCACTTTGGATTGATGCATGAGATAAAAGAAATATTACTGAAATATGGAATTGTAAATGGAGGAGAAATTGACTTAAGCATTGGAATTGATGGTGTTCCTTTATCCAGATCTTCAACAGCTCAGTTTTGGCCCATTTTAGGTAGAGTTCTACCTTTTACAGACGTTTTTATCATCGGTTTATATTTTGGATATGAAAAACCGAGTAGTGCGGAGGAATTTCTCGATGATTTTCTTACGGAAACAGAAACTTTTTGTGGTGACAATTTTGTATTTAATAATGAGCAGTTTATTTGCACGATTAAATCATTTATCTTTGACGCTCCAGCAAAAGCCTTTATAATGAACACTATGCACCACACAGGTTATCACAGCTGTCCTAAATGCACAATTAGAGGCAAGTGGAAAAATCATCGTGTCTGTTTCCCGTATTTGAGAAGACGACGATACATAAAACGAACAGATGCGAACATTCGCAATTATAAGTAGAAAAAACACCAAACGGGACCATGTTGTTTAAAACGTATACCAAACATCGATTTAATAAAAACCATACCTTTCGACTACATGCATCTCGTTTGTTTAGGATGCATGCGAAAATTGTTGTATTTATGGACAATACTCCGTTCCAAGCATAAATTAAGAAAATGGCAAATACAAAAGATTTCTCGACTGCTGTTGCGACTAAAAAAATTCATCCCACAGGAATTCGCTAGAAAGACACGAGCGCTCAAAGAAATTAAAAACTGGAATGCGACGGAATTAAGAATGTTTCTTTTATACATTGGTCCTCTTGTCTTAAAAAGCATTTTGCCTGCCAATTTATACGATAATTTTGTCACTCTTCACGTTGCTATCCGAATTTTTTGCGGTTTACATTTTTTAATGACAAGTGGCTATCCAGAATATGCAGATTCATTATTGCAACACTTCGTTGAAACGGCTGCCTTTTTATATGGTGAACACATAATCACTCATAACATGCATGGCTTACTTCATTTGTTTGATGATGTTTCACGGTTTGGCAAGTTAGATAACTTTAGTGCTTTTTTATTTGAAAGCTTCTTGTAGCTCTTAAAAAAGTTTGTACACAAAAGTGAAAAGCCATTGCAGCAAGCTATTAGAAGATATACTGAAAGTAAAGCATATCCGAAAGAATCGACAATACATCAAGAATCAAAGTTTTCGTTTAGTTTCCAGCACAACAAAGGACCAATGCTTGACACTTGTGTCTCACCACAATTTGCAGTAATTGCAACAAAAGAATTTAAATTTGATGTCCGAAAAATGGGGGATTTGTGTTGTGGTTTAAATTCTGGAAAAATTATTCTAATTTCCAATATTGCTCATGATTTAAATTCCAACGAACCGGTGATTATTGGGCAACAGTTTGAAACAAAAAACGATTTACATAATATTCCGTGCCCATCTTCCTTGGTAGACATTTATGTTGTTTCAGGTTTGTCTCTTATGAAAGCTTGGCCGGTGAAAAACATTGTTAAAAAATATATAATTATTCCGAGGAAGAACAACGAATTTTTTGTATCAGCATTGTTACATACACAGTAGTACTAAAAGTTATGATAAAAGAAGAACTGTACACAAAATATAACCTCAAAACTAAAAATTGATTTTATTCATTTTTAAAACAGAGAAAATTATATTAAAAATAATGTAATTGCAAACACATTTAGAAGATCTAGTTATACACATCAGAAAAATGATGTTGAGTCATCATTATTTCAATAGTGAGTATTTTAACATTTTTAATATTGTTAAAAATGTTGTTATTATTATATGTTATGAAAAAATAATAAGCAACGCAAATTTTATTTATTAAATAAATTTTTAACATCATACTTTTAACAATTTTAAAAATATAGCGTTTGTGGAGAAGGTTTTACTAAATAAAATAAGCTACTGTTTATAAAAATTCGTTTAAAATTGCAACTTTTTCTGAACTAAAAGAAAAAAATTAAAATATTAAAATACTTAGTATTTGAAGAATGATTTTGCGGTAATTATTATTTGATAAGCCATTAACGATAATTTAATTATACTTTTGTAAATGCTACCGCATGGCGGTGACAATAATCTTTTTCCCCACGTGTTGTATCGTATAAAGCAAACGTTTGCTAATCGTTTTTTTTAAATGTAAAGCAAAGTCAGAGTTAATTTTAGGCCAAGTGAGTACTTTAAGAATAAATTATCATCTAATTAATCATTAACGGTAATTCAGTTAGTCTTGTAAATTTTACCCCATCATTCATTGAGCATGAACATTTTTCCACGTATTACATCGCAGATGAAAAACGTTTGATAATCGTTTTTTTTAAATTTGAAAAATTGTCGACTTCAGATCAAATATGTACTTTAGGAATGTAAAAAAAATTGATAAAACTTTGTTTTAAAGAAGTAAAAATATTTAAAAACAATTATTTCTTAGGGACCGTGCACATAAAACTTCACAAGAACAGAAAGAAAGGGGTCAAAGTATTTGTGACAGTCTGCAGAATAAATAACGCAAATGTATGTAACAAAGTGTAACAAGGGGGCGGGAGGGAATCAACAAAACAGTTTGACGTATTATTACATGCACGACCTCTTAGCAAAAATGTTATCAATTTTTATTAATTTAATTTATCGCACAAACTATTAAAATTAAAAATGTTAAAACTTACAATGAAAAATATAAAATTAAAAAATTTATTTTAAAAAGATAATTATGAAATTGAACTAACGCTATGTGCAAAGTGTCTTGTTCTGATTAAATTTCTTTTAGAAAATTAAATACTTTACGTAAAAAAATGTATACTTCTATTTCAGATGTCTTACAGCAAGAATATAAAGCCGCAAACAATAAATGAAGAATATTTAATAGTCGAATTTTCTGATGGAGTACAATTGGTTCCTACATTATGGTTAACTCCGAAGAAAAAGAATGTTTATTGGCCTCGCGCAACAACTATGAACGGTTATTACAAGTTTGTAGAAAGAAAGCAAGTACCTGAACCAAATTGGACTAAGGAAGCAATTGTCAAATTGTTGGGTGGAGCAGGTAAGTACTATAAAGTGTATTTGCGTTTTAATTTATCAAATAACTATAATTTATATTTCCCTTTTACTCATAATAAAATTTATGCATTAATTGACCTTATGACATCTTCCTTTATATTTTACAGCAACATATTCCAGAGATTTACAGAAACTGAAGGATGCCGAAGATTATACGGATGTAAATACTGATAGGGATGAAAAACAAAAACGAAGACAAAAGAAGCGAAAAACTACTGAAGTGGAGAAAAATTCTCCTAAATCTAAAAAACAGCGTTTGCAAGAAATTGAAAGTTCTGAATCTGAAGAGAGTACTGACGATAATTTTAATGATGAGAACAGTTTCAAGACCATCCCTAAAAATCAGCAAAAAGCAACTCCGATACCTTCATATCCACCAGTACCAATCATGAAAAGCCCTCTTCCTTCTACTTCATCTCAAATAGAAAACAAATTTTCTAATGGAAGTAACACTACACATAACGAACAAATTTTTCGCAGTATTAGATGTATCACGAAAAACCTTTCTGTTAATCAGCGTGATGACAATAATAGACAGAATAATGCACCAAATCAATTCAAATATTCAGTTTTTTCAAAAAAGGGAGATGAAAACGGTTCAATTCCAAAGAAAGATTATGCGAAAGAACGAGTACGCAATAAGGAAAGTGGACTTAAAGTTTATGATGACGGTATACTATATTAAATTTGTCAACAAATATTTTATTTCTTTTTTATGGCAAATATTTTATTTATTATTCACTTACATTGTTTCAGAGAAATCATTTCGGAAATACGTAGTCTCTTCTTTTACTGAATTAAAGTTTCAACTTAGTTCTACTGCAGAAAAGGTAGATGAAATTGCATGTCAACTAAGCGAGTCTAATAATCCAGTTGAAAATAAAAGTGACGATTCGTCACCCAATGATTTCGACTTGCAAAGAATTCTACCTGTCAAAACTCTCGATGCATTACAAGAAGTTGAAGATAAATTAACGAAAACAAATTACATGAAAACTATGGTTAGTTTTTTGGTTCAGGTCGGAGGAAAATCCCTCAAAGATAATGTAAATTCAATATTGATCAGAACACTTTCAAATGAAGTGGCGGAAAATTTCAGTTGGCTGGGGAAGAAAGGAAAGTTTATCTTTGGACAGTTGCAATTGTGCAGTGCAATTATGAGTGAGTTTTTTAAAAATATATTACATTATTTATATTAATGATTTCGAGAACAATTTTTTATAAATCTCAATAATGACAAAATAAATAAAATTAAGGCTAATTTAATAAATTAATAAGAAGAGGTAATAAATAAAAAAATTATTAAAAAAATTTTTTTTTCAGGTGCATCTAAGCATCATTCTCAATTCACTTCAGAAAGCGATGTTATACAATACATAAAAGATTGGTTGAGACATGCACATCAAAGATGCATTTCACAAGCTAATTCTAAAATTCAAATTACAACGGTCGAAAATTTGATAAACTCTGAGAATCTTGACGGTGTATTACTGATGGATGACAGCTCAAATGCTCCTCTAACCTCAAATTTTGATTCGAAAGAACATGGTGGCGATGAGATTTCTAGAAATGTTTTAAGCGATGCTGAAAGAGTACATTCTAATCATCAAGACGAACTTGCAGACGAGTTGGCATAAAAGAAGTACTACGATGTAATCTTACTTTCTTAAACAAGGTTTTCAAGTTTAAAAATTTTATTTTCTTATTTTTAATTACGTACTTTAAAAAAGCCAACATCAACATAAAACTTGAGTTCATTTAAAAATTTACGCTTCTTTAGTTTAAAAACACGTTTAGTTCAAAAAAAAGAAAAAAATTTTGATATTTTTTTTGTTTATATTGTACCTAGATACAATATTTTCTTTGCCAATTGAAGACAAAGTGGCATAAAAGCAGTATTATAATACAAATAAATCTTACTGATTTTTTAATCAGAAATTTTATTATCTGACTTGTAACAAAGAAAATGAAAAGCTAAAAATTACGCTAACACTTTCACTAATTTTAAAACTTAATGTTTTTTAAAAACACAAAATAAGGTTTTTGTTTCATTTTCACATTAAATTATACTTAGATACAATATATTCTCACTTTGTAATGTTCATTCTACTATGTAATCGTTTAAAATAAAAAGTTTTTATTATCTATTTATATGTATAAATAATTTTTAACTAATTATAAATTATTTTCAATATATTTTTTTAAATATCCCAAAGATATCCCAGGGATATCCCACAGATATCCATTACAAACATCTTGAATACATCTTAGTAGAGGGAACTTTTGATATTCCAGGGATATCCCAGGGAGATCTAATATATCCTGTGGACATCTATGGGATATCCAAGATTTTTTCGATATATCGCAGAGATATCCTAGGGATATCTATTTGCTGTACGGGCTCAGTTTGTCGTTAAGGTAGATTTCCGCCTATACTGTTGAATGATTGTCGCCCATAACGACAAACTGAGTTAACTGAGTTTTTGTTTCGTAAGGCAGTATTATACTTTAGAAGCAGTAAAAAAAGGGTTCAAACAAATTATTTTTTCTCGTTAATTACTTTATTTAAAGAAAAAAAACCTCCTGTACAATATTCAGGACGAATAGTTCTTCAAGAAAAAATAAAAAAAAATTTATTGTATCTTTGTGGTCACCAGAGGGCACTTAAGTCAAGATGAAAAAAAATTTGTTCAATCGGCGGACAAGCTGCAGCCTATCAGGGGTATCGAATTTAAAAACTGAAAAAGCGTTTTAAAGCTGAGACAAGTAGTTGAGCATTGTGCCTTATCCGATAAAAAATATTTTAAAATTACAAAATGGTAACGAATTCCAAAAATTTTTTAAAAAAGAGGTTTTTTGGGCAGTTTTTGGTCGTAGTGAAAAACCAAAAACGAATAGATAATCGGTTTTAGGCATAATGCCTGCAGGCTTTAATTTCGAAGAAAATGATATTTTTTTGGATAAATGAAACCCGAGTTATGCTGTCCGCCACTTTAAAAAACGTCGTTTCGAGAAAAACGCGTTTAAAGTTTTAACCTAGATGGTTATGTCCATCCCGGCTCAAAAAACTTATACAGGAAAATTTACAAGTTCTTGTACATGTTCATTAATAAACTTGTACATTTTCTTGTACACGTTCGAGTAATGTTGTTGAACAAGTTCAGCATTCGGAATTGAGGCTTGTTCTTGTACCAGAACTTGTACATGATCCTGGACAAGAAAATATACTTGTACAAGAAAATGTACATGTTCTTGTACATATTTTTTGTGCAGGTTTCATGTACAAGTACTTTTACATGAACACGTTTATACTTTTTTATTAATATTATACGTTTATTACTTGTTCAAGAACATTACTCGAACATATACAAGAAAATGTACAAGTTCATTAATGAACTTAATTAATGCACAAGAGCTTGTACATTTTCTTGTACAAGTTTTTTCAGCCGGGAATTAACTTATCAACACGGGTAATCAATACAATTTTTTAAAGTTTTTTAAAAGAGTTTTTTTAAAGAGTTGAGGGCTTTTTAAATTACGCAAGGTATAGTTAAAAATTAGTCACAACTACTAATTTTTTTAGTAAATAATTTTTTCAGATATTCGTTTTTACATAAAAAATTATTGCACAATTTTCAGGTTACTTGAAGAAACCACAAACTTATGAAGAAAAAAAAATAAAATTACATTAACAAATTCACAATCATTTACTATCGAGTATAATGGACAAAGTATTCATCTCTACCAAAGAAAAAAGAAAATTATAATTATAATTATAATTTTTAATCCTTCTAATATTTCAGAGATTAGTAGATATTAAAATGTATAAATACCTTCCCTGAAAGACATGAAAAATTCAAAAACATAATTTTTTAAAATAAGGATTGTCACCAGCAATATTTGGATATCAGACAGACTCTGAGATAGGACAGGCTCTTATGGTGATTTAAACAAATCCTAGAAGAAACGGGCGATTAAAATCAGTGTAAAATCACATTTCGAGGGTTCAACTGTTTGTTTTGCATCACGATTAATTAATTTGAGTTCACATTCATGCTGCACATGGAAACTAATAGAGCAATACATTACATTTTACACCTTTGCTAAAAAAAAGTTATTTTGCATTTTCCGATTGATTTCTGAAAATCAAGAAAAATTTTTTTTACCAAAGGTGTAAATGCTTTATAACTTGACAATAGAGATTCTCGATATTTGTTTCGACTTTTGTCAGTTTGTAAAAACGTGACTGTACAAGATTTCTGGAACAGATTCATTTGAAAAAAATCGAACACTGTTTAGAAAATTTTCTCAATTTCTGGTTAGAAAAAAGTCGAAATTTATCTTAACACGTCACTGAAAAAATCGAACACAGTTTAGAAATTTTCCTACATTACTATTTCGAAAAATTTCTAATCTTTTCGAAAAAAAACTTGCAAACTATTTTTCGAAAAATTTCGAAAAAAATTTTTACAGTGTAGAACTACCGATGGTATGTTTTTTCCCGCAGCGCACGGTTTTTCTTGTGTATCTTTCGTTAATGACTAGCTGGAGGGCTAAAATTTTTTGACTTTTTTTTGTTGAGTTTAATCAGTATACCTTTCAGATTTTTATCACTATTAGAACCTTAGATCTGAATCGGCATGTCTAGAACTACCGACGGAACATTTTGTACCATGGTTATTAATATTGTTAAAAACAATTATTATTACAAAATTGAAAAATAATCATTTTGTAGAGTTAATAAAAAGTATGACAATGATAATATGTGTAAAATTATTCTTATTTTGTATGCGTAGCGGACGGTTGGTGTACGAAACTGCTGGTAACATTCAAAATTGGATCCGCCATTTTAAGTTAAAAAAATTTTTAAATGTTAATTCAGATAAGTAATTAGCGATCACAAGAAAACCCTAGAAACCCATTTTTTAGGAAAAAACAATAATTAAAAAAAATTATTTTCCATATTGTATCCGCCATTGAAATAATGAAATAAAAAAAAAATATTTTATCATATGTTTAAAACATATTTAAAATAAAAAAAATATTTATTTAAATAATAAAATAATTTTCAACACATTAAATGTAATAAAGGAAATTAAAAATTATTATGAAAATATATTTAAATTAAGAAAATAATTATGGAACAGAAATACACAAAATAATTAATTTTTTTTGGTTGACTCGTAAATTTCGTTCACCACATTGCCCAACAGCTGTGCGAGAATGCCCGTCTTTGCCCTATATTCTTCCTTAATTTTTTTTATTTGAAGGTATCTATTGTACCTACCACCACGTTTTGACCTTTATTTACCACCTGAAATAATTTATTTTATTTATTTTATTTATTTTATTTATTTTATTTATTTTATTTATTTTATTTATTTTATTTATTTTATTTATTTTATTTATTTTATTTATTTTATTTATTTTATTTATTTTATTTATTTTATTTATTTTATTTATTTTATTTATTTTATTTATTTTATTTATTTTATTTATTTTATTTATTTTATTTATTTTATTTATTTTATTTATTTTATTTATTTTATTTATTTTATTTATTTTATTTATTTTATTTATTTTATTTATTTTATTTATTTTATTTATTTTATTTATTTTATTTATTTTATTTATTTTATTTATTTTATTTATTTTATTTATTTTATTTATTTTATTTATTTTATTTATTTTATTTATTTTATTTATTTTATTTATTTTATTTATTTTATTTATTTTATTTTTTTTATTTATTTTATTTATTTTATTTATTTTATTTATTTTATTTATTTTATTTATTTTATTTATTTTATTTATTTTATTTATTTTATTTATTTTATTTATTTTATTGTCGACCCTCCCGATAAAGCCGGTCTACGCGGAAAGGGGAAGCGTTTTTCGTGGAACTCAAGTTCCCCCACTACTCATGCTCCCTAGATGCGAAAAGTTTTCCGCACACTATCTCAATAATGCCGGCGCCCAAGATGGCCGCGTGCATTTGACATGTGTGCATAGTGTGTTTATATTTCACAGGTACAAATTGAAATAATTCGATCGAAATGTGTGTTTAAGAATGTCAATTTAAGAAAATGTCAGCTTTATCAAGTAAAAAAAAATCAAGTGAAAATGAAGTACAGACGGGAGAAAATGAAAAACATGTGTCGAAAAACAAAAGTTATAGTCTAGTGGATCTAGTCAAACAAAGAAAAAGATTTTCTTTCCAAAAAAAATTCGATATTTTAAAAGAAGCAAATGCTCAATCTGTTAGTGAAATATGTGAAAAATATAATATTAATGAACGTACTTTACGACATTGGAAAACCGAAAGATTGAAAATTAAAGAAAATGTCAAAAATAAAATTTTGAAAAATGCCAAAAAAAAGTGGTAACACTTTGGAATTCGATAATACTTTACATGTGTGGATAATAAACTCTTCAATAAAAGGATTGCCGATATCTGGATCTATAATTCAGAAACAAGCTTTAATAATTAACAAAGAAATCTCAGGACCAGCAAATTTCCGAGCATCCAGTGGTTGGTTACAGAAATTCTTGTCACGTAGAAAACTAAAAAATCTAAAGATTACAGGTGAGTCAAAATGATACAATCTGCCTATCTTTATGTTTTCTTTTATAATTTTAAACATAATTATTGACAAATTACACATTTATATATATATATATTTTTTTCTTTTGCATTGAATTTTATGAGATTTAGTCTCCTAAATAGTCGAAAAAGTTTCAGAAACGTTTTTATAACATTTTGGGAAAAAATTTTATAATAAATTGGCTTCACTCAATGTGTGATTTAAATATGTAGTAATTAGTAATTTTTCATAAAGTATATAATTACGTTTTCATAATTTTTAATGTTATGGGCATAAAAAAATATTCGTGAATTTCGTAAAAGTGAAAAAATAAATTATTAAAATCGTAAAAATTCTAAAATATCTCAGGATTGCCTAAAATTTACTAAAATATGTTAAAGGTATAAAAATATATATAAATAAATATGTTTAAAATTAAGATTTACATATACAAAAATATCTTTAAATTTTTAAACAAATTTTTGTGTTTAAATCTTAATTCCAAACATATTCTATATATTAAATATAGTATGTTTATTTGTGATAATTTGTCATTTTTCCCAAATTTACTTCATTAATGGTGTTTATTTAATGCTAATTGATTTCAAAAATTTTTTATTTAATTAGTATAGAATTTGAAAATATATAATTTCATTCTATGTCACATTTAATTGTTGAATAATTTTATTCTTATCTTCCAAAGGTGAGAAATTATCAGCAAATGAAATAGCAGCAAATGAATTTAAAATCAAATTTGCGGAAACTATCATTCGAACTGAATTACAAAGATGTCAAGTGTTTAACATGGACGAAACGGGCTTGCAGTTCAAACTTATTCCGAAGAGGACATATGTTTCGGAAGACATGACACAGGTTTCGGGAATGAAAAAGCAACTTGAAAAAGTGACTGTTGCTTCTTGCTGTAACGCTGATGGTTCGCTCAATCTACCGCTGATTGTAATTGGAAAATCCAAAAATCCCCATTGTTTTAAGCACTTAAATAAAGATACTGACTTGCCAGTTTGGTATGGTAACCAAACCAGTGCTTGGATGAACCAGACGATTTTTGAGGAATGGTTTTCCAAGGAATTCGTTCCCAAAGTGGAAACTTTTTTGCGTAACAAAAATCTACCATTGAAAGCAATACTTTTAGTCGATAACTGCAAGGCACATAAGTATTTGAAAGTGAATGAAATTGAAGTTGTTTTCTTTCCGGCGAACGTCACCTCCTTAATTCAGCCTTGTGATCAAGGAATTTTGCAAGCACTAAAAGTAAATTACCAAAATCTTTTACTATATACAATTATGCAGTCATCAGCAGAAAATGAAAACTTTAATCTATTGGCATTTTTAAAAACCATAGATTTGTATAATGTCGTAATTTGGATCTCAGATGCTTGGAACGCTTTAAAATCGTCAACAATTTATAGATGTTGGAATCCTTTGTGGCCTATAGAAAAGCGTGATGTGGCTATCCAAACAGAAGAATCTTCATGCACATTTGATCTCCTGGATAATTCGGTAGATAAAGAAAGTCGACCAAATATTTCTGAAGCAACAAAAAATGATGTAAATAATCTGTTGAAAGTCTTTCAAAGCATACAGGGTTATGAGGAAACCGATGACGCTACACTCTTGAAATAGCTGAACATGAAGTGTGGTATGTAATTAATTTTGAACATATTTCAATATACCGAAAAAATAAAATCTCTATATGAGAGAAGTTTTCCTCTCTTAAATTACTTTTACGTTTTATTTTTAGTAAAAAAATATTTATTTAAAAAAAATGAATAATTTTTATTTAATAAAGAGAATTTTGATTAAAAGAAAACTATATATTTAATTATAATAATTTTATATATTTTTTTCAGACGAACCAGATAATGTTCCTATTTCTCCAGAAGTAAACTGTGAGGAATTAACTATTCCTTATAATGAGCCAGTGCAGATGATACAAATTGAGAATTCGGAATTGATGGACCAAGAGACACCTGAGTTCAATTTTGTATCTGATTCATTTAAAGTATTATATGAAGAGCTTTAAATTAATCCACCGTTTGGATTCGGCTGAAGTTTTGTTAAAAAATATTTTCTAATTTTGTTTTCTCTAAAATTTAATTTTTTTATAAAGTTCATTTAAAAATTTGTTTATTCTATAATACATATTTTTTGAAATAAAAAAAATGGTATTTTATTCTTACCCACTTTCACATAAATCTTATTAGTTGATTTATTATTTACATCTTTTACAGGCTTCATAGTCGTCCCCTACTTTCCCTAAAAGTCCCCTTTTTGACTTATGGTCTCTAAAAAAGTACCCTATTTTGAAAATTTTCTCCAAATATGAGCAATTCCACGTGTACTGATCGACGATTTTTCTTTGATGTTAGCAATTTTCTTCCAATTTTTATTTCTGATAGCTATAAGGGTGAGAAATAATATAGTGTAGGCGATTTTGAAAATTTCAAATTTTTTTTGAAAATATTCAAATTTCAAAATTTATGTACTAATTTTTTTAAATTGAGATATCTCTGGTTCTTTTCAATATTTTTCAAAGTTTTTTTTTAAATTTCTCAGTAAAATAAGTACTTTTTAAATAAATTTTTTCGAAAAAAAAATTTTCATTAATTATTAAAAATTTTAAAAAAAAATTTTTTTTTTCAATTTTTGAAAAACACCCCCCCTCCGATTTTTTTTGTTTTTTTTAGTGATAGCCAAAACTATCAGGAATTTTTTCGTACAAGATTTATAGTGGGATCGTCATAACTTTTCGAGAAATCAACGAAAATGTCAATTGGGACCCGTCGATATTGATGCACTCCTGCAGCCGTTGATACAGATGATATCAACCGCGTTCATATCCTTTCTATTTTTATTCATTGGCGGTCTACTAACCGAAAAGTAGTTGGAATAACAGGGAAATAGCCGGGAAAAAAATTAAAATTGTGAATAGCAATAAAATTTTGATAATTGTATACTTTCATACTTTCGCAAATTTTTTATTAATTCTTTTTGGAGAAGCTTTCATTTATCTAGAAGATGAAAAATTGGGTGGGGGAGGATGAAAAAGTTAACTCTGGAATAGTCAAGGATTTAAAACACTATTAAAAAATAGTTTTTGGTATATAAATTGGTTAATATAAGGAATATTTAAAAATTTTAAACATACACTGTAAAAATTAGTACCAATTTTGGTAGTAAATTGTAATTTGGTTCAATTTTAATACCAAAATCAGTTCTAATTTAGAACTTCTTTTTTACAGTGTAAAAGTTTTAGTTCTCATTGAAACATACTTTTTATGTTTTATACTCTTTTTGCCTAAATTGATTATTATACGAGAAAGATGCAAAAAAATAATAATAAATTTAAAAGCTTTATACAATGATTTTGAGCCTTTAAAAAGGCTGATTGGAATAAATATGTTGCTTTTTTGGCATTTGAGCCTTTAAAAAGGCTGATTGAAATAAATATGTGGCTTTTTTGGCATTTGAGCCTTAAAAAAGGCTGATTGAAATAAATATGTGGCTTTTTTGGCATTTGAGCCTTAAAAAAGGCTGATTGATATAAATACATACTCGAAAATAAAAACCGGGAATTTCAAGAACAGAAATTACTTAATTACTGCATTAAATTTACTACACCAGAACAATCATAAGAATTAGAAAATGTTTTTGTAATAAGCTTCTTTTTTGATATAGGTATGAACGCATGTAATTGATGAGTTCCCTGAATTGTGATTGCTTGTCGAAAACGTGCTTGCAGTAATCGTTCTTCCTGTTTATATTCACTTTGCGAACAAAACGCAACTTGAATTTTCTCCAAATTTTTGGCGAATTCGTATAAATCGTATGGAGTTATGATTTGATTTTCATTAGGTCGTTGCAAGCTTGCATTTGCAGCTGATCTTTTAAGGCTTCCACCCACTCCATCACAAGGACCTTTTCCGTGGGAGGCAGCAAAAAAATGCCATTCTGCTTGGCAGCCAAAATCATTTTGGTGATGTGTCAAATTTAAGAAATTTTTTCTGTTTTTATATTGCGCTGCACATCCATCCGAAAAATAAATTACTTTTTTAATTACCTTGCCCATGGTTTCTTTTAAAAAAGTTATTAATTTTTTCTGAAACAAATGAACAGCAATCGTATTGTGCTGTAAAACTTCGGAAATAATGACAAAACTAAGATGTTCTATTTCATTTTTTGAATTTTTTAAATATATGACAAATGGATGAACAGTGGCTTGGTTATTTGTAATATTTGTAATTATTTGTAATAGCTTTGCGCAGCATCTTGAACCACAAAAGAATAATTTTCTGCAAAGTCACATATGACAACAAATTCTCCATCTCTTAAACCGTTTTTGACTTCTTCAAGGAATTTACCCTGCTCTTTAGCCACGAAACAATGAGAAATTAATTTTTCTAGTTTTTCACTAAGAGAATCGGTAAATTCTGCTGCAGATTTAGTCAAAGTATCTAAATTTGAGCGATCTACTTGGATCCACTGTTTAAAAGTAATCATATCTACTTTGTTCTTCTCAAATGCTTCTTTTAAATCATTTTTTATTTTTTCGCTTCCTGGACAAACTGAGCAAGTTCCAAAATGACATTCCACCGTCGCAGGATTACAAATTGATTTGGCTATCCAATGTTTATAGGTAGGGATTTCCAAGTTTTCACTTTTAGATAAAGCCTCTATTTTTCCTCCAGTAAACATCAACTTAACATTCTGGTGAAGTGCACAGACACATATTGTATGCGTACCACTAGCACCAGCTAAAACACACTCTTTGGGCCTTAGTTCAGCAAACTTGGAAAATCCGATTTTCTGACCAGGAAATGAATCTTTATAGGATACGTACAATTCTTTAATACTGCTTAATATTAGTCGCTTTTGCACTTTCTCTTTTTCACCATTCTCATCCAGAATTGTGACAAAATCTTTTTTTCCTGGCATCACACGACTATTATTGTCATTTTTATAAAAATTTTGCACACACTCTAGTGTTTCTCTGGGAAGAGAATTTCCTTTTATCGGCTTAGTTGAAGCTAAGAATCCTTCATTTTCAAGAAGATGTTTGGCATTTCGAGCCATACGATTTGAGCAGTCAAAAGTATCTTCAATTTTTTTTATTGACCAGTCTACAGGGAGAATAGATAAAATTTTCATTTGCAGATTTTTGTTTTTTCCTGATAATCTAAATCTCTCTTTCAGATGATCGACAATTTTTTCTTCATTATTTTTGCTTTCTTCAAGATTAAAAAGTTTTGTTTTTAACACGGAACTTACGTTTTCAAATGTTTTTTCCTTCTGTATTATTGACGTCTTTTTCTCAAAATGTACAGGTGATGCATTTAAAATTTCTAAACATTTATTTAAATGTGAAAAAGCTACTTCTCTATCCACATCAGAAAAAATTGCCAGCTTATCATCAGCATCATCATGCACTTCAACGTCGCTTGAATAATTTTCAAATTCTTCATTTTCTACTTCTTGACATTCAATTTCCTGATTTCAAACTTCTTGATTTTTAACAAAAGTTGGTAATATTTTCTTAGCTAACGCTTTTCTACATACATCGCAAATATGCTTCTCTCGAGAAAGTTCTGGGTACAGCTCATGAAGAGTTTTCGAAACATTTCGAAGATTATTTTTAAATTTTCGATGATTCGGTTTTTTAGGGGATTACAGCAAACCTTATCATACATTTTAGTTGAAATTTTTTTAAATATCACGCCTGATGATAATTCGAAAACAAAAACGATTGACAACAAATAATTATAAATCTTTTCTTTTAACACAACAAATATGTGTAGAATGAAAAAAAAATGTCGTCGCTGATCTTTGGAATAAACAAAATAACTTACAATCTAAACACTTACCTTCTAAAAACAAAATTATTAAAAAAAACCTTCAAAGAAGAAACGTATATTGAACGTCAGACGATAATAAGAAAACAACAAAAAAAATTTCTATGGTGATCTTCAAAATCAACCAAAACAAACTTACAATCTAAGAAACACTTATTATATAAGAGGAAACTTACACTTTTTAACAAAAAAATTATTCAAAGAAATACCTGCAACGATAAAACGTAAAAAAAGAGTAAAAAAAATTGTAAATTTAAAGAAACATGTGACATAAGGATAGTAGGTAATCTATGTTTTGAGTTCTTCAATAATACGCTGAGAAATGATCAGAAATGCGCTTCTAGTTCAATGTGCAGACGTTCACGTATACATGACGTAGCGCATGCCCGGCGTGCAGGAGTGCATCAATCTCGACGGGTCCCGGTTGACATTTTCGTTGATTTCTCGAAAAGTTATGGTGATCCCACTATAAATCTTGTACGAAAAAATTCTTGATAGTTTTGGCTATCACTAAAAAAAACAAAAAAAATCGGAGGGGGGGTGTTTTTCAAAAATTGAAAAAAAAATTTTTTTTTGAAAAATTTTTAATAATTAATAAAAATTTTTTTTTCGAAAAAATTTATTTAAAAAGTACGTATTTTACTGAGAAATTTAAAAAAAAAACTTTGAAAAATATTGAAAAGAACCAGAGATATCTCATTTTAAAAAAATTAGTACATAAATTTTGAAATTTGAATATTTTCAAAAAAAATTTGAAATTTTCAAAATCGCCTA